TCCTAGCGAAGGTTCTTATTAATTGGCAGCTACATTACTCCAGAACTGATTTCTAACTTTGTTTACAGTTCCGTAACTATTTTACTTGATTTTTCATACGCCTTCAATCGTGTTACGTGATCTTTTGTTTACCTTCAAATTAATTACTGAATTTTTTTCTTTGGGCTGATTGTTGTTATGTAATGGATCTAGTAAAAGCACGTTATTGTTGTGTTACATTGAGATTATGTTATACTGATACGAACTTTGGGACGTTTACTTCTCTTAGATGTTAAAATGATAAAATTGAAATCTAGTTGAGCTAATTTGGAAAGGTTCTCCATGCGAAATGGGATTTGCGCCATGATTTTGACGGTAACAAAATGAAGATAACTTGTTGTTTGCTTATAAAATACATGTTTAGACGCGCCACGATGGAAATAACAAAAGCGTCCGGTATCGCTCTGGAAAAAAATTATTCATCTCGTCTCATAAATCACTTGATGTATAGTATCAGAGGTGATTGAAAACTGCAACAATTTTTGTTGAAACGTTAGTTTTGGTAAGCTATCCATGATATAACAGGACGTCTATTCCTGAAAATATTCTCCATACACTGTGGGTTGACGGACATAAAATTGTTTATAAATCTCACAGCCTCTTGAGTCCTGAACAGACTCCGACAAATGATAAATCGAAGCAGTTGAAAATGTAGATATTTATATAATGATGTCAATCTTTAGAAACTGTAATAATTTAAAAAACTAGCACGAGGTTAATTCATGATAGGAATTTGGAATGCTGACCCTAAAAAATGACACGAGCATAGATCATCGAGAAGGACAAGAGTATCATCTCCATTTATCCCCGTCGAATTTAAGAAGATGCATCTTTATGTCAATCTTATGACAATTTATCGATTCAATTGAATAAATTTCGGTTCGCATTTTGCTGAATCGCTGCGAAGCTCTCTGTAAAACTATTAAGCTAAACAGTGAACGTTTGACCCCTTGTGTTGCCCAATTACAATACGCAATTGTATATTACCTACCAGGTGACGAGAAATACGCTGCAGTGCAGCCCAGCAAAACCATGAGAATAACTTTCAAGTCCATTGCCTTGTGATAAAACTCACGTGAGATAAAAACATTAAAATCGAGGCTTGCAGCAAATTTTCAGTTTCTGGATTAAGCGATTGGCTCTAGCTAGTGTTTCGCAATGTTAATTGTTAACTTACAAGTACAATATTGTAAGTCCCTGTCCGCTGCGGTCACCAGTGATTTTGATGACAGACGAGAGCTAAATGAATAAATTTTCCAGTTTGTTTCGTCACCTTCAAGTGAAAACAGTTCATTTATATCTGCTTAGAATTTTTCTTTTTTCACTTGCAAACTGGCTTACAATTTCTGAACGTCAGAAAAAATATCTAAGTAAAAGATCTCGCACTGTTTTTTCTTGATAAAGATGCATATAACCTTTCCTCGAGTGATTCACATTCACCACTCTCCCAAACTCAAAGACCTGATAGCGTTACTGTGAGATTTAGTGTCCACAATAGGGGTACGGGAGAAAAAATATTATGTACGTGACGTGCCTCACGAACAGGAAAAAGATCTGGCCGTAAGTAGGAAGTTCTTATGTTCGCACCCAAATTGAAGAATGGTTTCTCTACTTTCATTTATCGCAATGTCGCTTTGTATTATGTGAGTCTAGATTTTGGAAGAAGTACTTTGGTGTCCGCTATAGCGAAAGCTTAAACATGTGAAATTTCGCGCTAAAAGGGGATGGATGTGTCCGCATTCGAGAGTCGACTGCCATTCAAACACGTGCACAAGCAGAGCAAAAATTGAGGTGAGCACTCTCTTTTAGCTCTGTCTCAAAGAACTCTTTTAAAAAATTAGTAAAAAATTAAATCAGTGCACTTAGCATATAATGAAGACAGGGTTTTTTTCAAGAGCAAATCAAGGGGAATAGAAGGCTCTTAGCTCCTTACTTTGTGATAAGAAATGATCAATACACAATCATTGCCTTTAACGGAAGTTTGTTTTCTGAGACGTCCGCATATATGCTAACCTCGATCTAATGTTAATGAGTGAGACAAACTTGTAAGGGCGATGAAAAGTGACGAGAAAAAAGGAAATGGTTAATTCTCGAACAAGAATTAACTACTTTCGGTAGCGGCCGTTTCTAACTGTATGCTTCATGTCGCTAAAACATTTGAGACGACTGATTTTGTTTTGTTTCATATATCTAGACCGTTGTGAAATGTTTCCACACAAAAAAATTTATTTCCTAGGTTTATTGTGAATTTAATTGTGTATTAAGTGAGTTGTAATTTCGTTACCGTTAAAGTACAGAGTTAATGTTACAATTAAAAGTAGCATGTAATTGGGAGCGGCATAGGGTAATGAAATAAGGTATTTGCAGGGCGTTTAAGCGCGTGGGAACTTAGCAGCATGATTGTCAAGTAAAGCCATGTTTAATAGGAAATTAGTGCCCACGAATCGTTGTAGAACGTGAGTGAGTCTTGAATCAATCCCACACGGAATTACGTATCTGGGTGTGGATTTCCTTAGCTAATAAATGTGACATTTTTGTAACCCTAGGATTAGATTGTAATAGAGTAGATAGATCGCAGAACGGAACGTGTAATGCTGAATTGTCGTCAATAAAGCCTGAATCAAGAGAAAGTATACAGTCCAAGATTACTGAACCAGCGTGTGCGGAATTCTCAGCAACGCAAGTAGGAAATTCTGCGAAACAGACCAATCATAGTGTGAGACAAAACCAGTGCAGTCCCGTACTTCTTGCGACGCTCAACTGAAACATGCTTTGGCTCACTCTTGGCTCTTTCGTGTTCGTTTTTTTGCCTACTGTGCCTTACTTCTGGGAAGGCTGTAGGTATTACTTTTTAGTGTCAAGTGAGGCCGTCAACTTTCTCCAGGCCCCCCACGGTTTTCAAAATGGCGGACTCTTATGACTCGTACTCGTCCCGTGTAATCTGGTCATTTCCGACTCTAATTATCGTTGTACGACTCCACTCAGGTTTCTTCAGATTTATTTTTGGTTTTGTGGGGTTTGGTTCGATGTCCGTTAAACGGCTACGTCGTCACAAGTCTTCACATGTGCGTTTTCCTCTGACATATCTAGCATATCCTTTCAAGAATACTGTAAATTAAACAGAAAAAAGGGAAAAGAAAATAAAGAAAAAGAAATTTTAAAAATGTCGACGTAGTCAGGGCTCGAACCTTATACCTTCAGACCCACAGGAGTAGGTACATCCAGAGCGCTAGGTACACAGAGCGTACTAACTTTAATATACATTCAATTCAAGTATGTCGTACTCTAATGATTTCTTGCTCTGTCCCCGGCCTGTTAATTAACCAGAGTACAAACTATATGTTCTAACCGTATCCTCTTTTCGTCACAAGTTTGGCATCGACAAGAGCTGTTCATTAACCTCTCTGCATGTAGGCACATGCAGAAATTGACTGCCTTTTATTTACTGTCTTGTTCCACTGAGCTCAATATTTCATTCTCAATCTTAAGGCTACATTTTCTCTCCTCCGATTGTCCTCTTCTCGATGCCCTCTTCCTAATTTTCTATCAAATTCTTCATCCCCATTTAAAGTTTTAAATCAGGAACATCACAGTCCATTTTCAATAATCCTTAAACGAAACATTGAAACAAGGTTAATCTCGGCCAACGGTTACTGATATTAACAAAGATTGGCAGAAAGATTATTGAAATATAAAGATTAAAAATAGATAGAATTGAAAATAGGTCACTGTCTTGGTTTAATAATTGTGAATACAATGACTTAGTTTAAGACTAATTCTGCTAAAAAGCGCTTGTAATGTTTTCCCCCTTTTAATTATGGGGAACTCGAAACTGGCTTATTCAGCAGTTCACACGGGTCTACAGTCAACGTTCGTAAAGTGATTATTTCAAAGACGATTAATTTTGTTTGTTCATATTAAGCTTCGTGACGGAAAGTTGTTATTTCGGATTTGTGGCTAAAGAAAAAGCGGTCGCTTTGTTATTTTTATATTTCTACCATATGATATCAGCACCACTCAAGAAATTAAGTGAGTTCAATACAATTTTTGGGGAGTTTTTTTTCTTTTTAGATAAATTCCGAAAATGTTGTGATATGCAGAATTTAAAAAAAAAATTCCAGAGAGATTCTTACGACATCTTTCATGATATCCGTGCATTAGCCACACAAACGAGGTCAGAGCTTTAAACTTGACTGTCTATCACAACATCACGTCTCTCCAACAGCCTTTCTATCAATCGCTTCGACTAAAGGCTGACGCCCGAAACGTCAGCTTTTAAACTCTTTACGGTGGCCAATTTGGGTTATCAACTCAGTTCGTAATACTATATTGCTCTTTTGATACTCTCCTACCGACGCAGCAACAAAGTTTCCTTAGAAACTTACTGCCTTTATTTATTTGTCTCAGTCCATCATATTAAATAACAGAGCGTATTTTCCTCAAATTAGCTGATTATATTTATCAACTAAACACCGAATGAGAGGTTCGTAATGTGCGATGGATATTTCCACTTCTAACCACTGACGTAAATAGTCGTTTCTGTATAAACCACAACAGCGAGATTATATAGCTCAAATAAAAGATTTAAAGTCATTTATTCCTGCATCGATTGCAATATTTTCGGGTGCGAGTTACTATCCGTGGACGTGAATATGAAAGCGATCTTCGCAGTAATGAACACTGCTCAAGCAGTAGTGAAAACAAGGCCTGAAAAAACATGTAGGCCTGTACAGGCCTGCATTTTTTTTTTTTCACGCCTCAGTTATTTACACAACTGCTCAGGTAGGGTTCATCCAGGTTCAAAGTTTTTGAAATGTATGATTTTTATAATTTTCAGATTAACTGATACCTCGTATAGTGGAAAAAACTGACGAGGGGAAAAGGTAGGGGGTTTTGATGGACTGGGCCTGACACAATAAGGCTTTGTGAAAAAGTTATGGTTCCTGTCAGACCGGTCATGTTGAGCCTTAGACGAGGTCGCTTAGGCAATTTTTTAATTGCCGTCTCGGGAAGGTCTTCGTAAGTTACACTACTAAACACAAGGTAAAGGAACCGCAGCTTCTAGCTTCCAATGAACCTCTTTACGTGCAGCATCGGAGACTCCAGTGGTTGATGCTAATTTTTTTAAATTTACAAAAAAAGCCCTCAGGCTGCTTGCTACAGGAAAAACAAGTATCTTATTATCATCGTAATCCAGTATTTGGCATAAATTGTGGACAAAAAGGCCGGCACTCCATGAGCGCAAAGGTCGAGGATGCGTGAGCAGAAGTTAAATCAGACGTACATATCTCACGTTGTGGAGTACACCAAGTGTCTATTGAAGAGTATAAATCGTTATCCTATTCCAATTAAGCACCAGTAACTACTGACGGTGAAGTCATGATACCTACAGTCATTGGCATTTTCATTCTACTTGTGGTAGTCTATGTCGTGCCCACAATATGGCAACGCCGCCACCTTCCGCCGGGTCCATTTCCTTTGCCCTTGGTTGGAAATGTTCTCTCAATTGATCTTAAGAGACCATACACTGCCTTTGCTGACATGGCCAAAAAGTACGGCAAGTTATTCCGAATCCTTATGGGCAGACAACAGGTGATTGTTATAAATAGTTACGAAATCGCGAGAGAAGCTCTCGTCACAAAAGCGGCAGATTTCGCCGGTCGACCACGACATTTCTTCGGCGATATTTTTGGCCGAAATTGTACCGATATCGCATTTCAATCTTTAAGTAGCAGATGGAAAATACAGCATAAACTTGCGATAACAGCTCTGCGTCTGACCGAGGACAAAGCCAACTTGGCTGACCATGTAGAAAAGTTATGCAGCAGATTCAACTCTTTTAATGGTAATCTATTCTGTCCCCAAGATATAGTCATCAACTCTTTGGCTAATTGTCTCTCCTCTCTAATTTTTGGCAAAGAACTCAAACTGGATGATCGTGAGGTAGAAATGCTCGTAGAGGCCGTTAGTGTTTTTCGAGATTCACTCGCTGCAGTTAACATGATCAACACTTTCCCAATGTTGAAGTATATTCCTTTTGACATCATAAGGAAAGCAAAGCGCGCTGGAGAAATCCGAGATGAAATTTTTGAAAGGAAGTTTGGAGAACATATCTTGACCTTTCAGAAGGGCTATACCCGTGATTTGATTGATGCCTTGCTGATGGGCTTCTATGAAATGGCTGAAGATGGTTTACTTACCAAGCGGCATTTAATCTCGAGGTAGGGAACAAGTCATATGCTAATTCTGCTTTGTTCTAAGATTCCGTTAAGGTGTTTTGGGAGGCTCATAGTAACATGATTTTTTTATGTACGAATAAACAGTTTCCCCTTTGGTGAAAAGAAATGCGAAATTTTCAAAATCCAAGGAATTTGGCAGATTATTTTCAATACATAATTAAAAGTTCCAAAGGAGCTGATGACAATTTCTAATAATCGCCGCTAAAAGAGCTTATTGGTGCGTAGCGAAGAACATTTCAATATCAATTTGAATAACAAATAAAAGCCCAGTTCGTAAAGCTATAAAACTCTAGAAAACAAATCCCACAGTAACGCTTTTCATTCAACTCATTTATTCTTGTTTTACTCGTGTCAATGAACGCTCTTCATTCAACTAATTTATTCTTGTTTTACTCGTGTCAACGAACGCTCTTCATTCAACTAATTTATTCTTGTTTTACTCGTGTCAACGAACGCTCTTCATTCAACTTATTTATTCTTGTTTTCGTCGTTATCATGTTACCACCAATCGCACAGCTCCATTAATATTTTCTGCACATAAACACGCACAAGCCACAGTCCCTCTGTTTACTCAGACGAAGGGCTAATGCTTGAAAAATCAGCTATAAAATCTCTTCGATGGCTAATTTGCATTATCAACTCAGTTAATTGATAGAGCCAAATCATCCAAGATTGGAAAAAATAATCAAAAAAGTTTTGCTTGTAAGTGTCTCTGAACAGCCTTGACTTCGGCTGTGGAGATGCAATGTTTTATGTCGCGCTTATGGATATAAAGACTGGTTTTGAAATCTTTTCAGCTCTTATGATATTTCGTATAAGGCGTTTTGGTTATTCATCGCGGTGAATAACAGTAAAAGCTAAGTTTTTCGTTTGTCTCACGATGTAGTCACATGTGATGTAGATCGCGAGGCGATGAAGTCGACTGATCATGCTCTGCTGTGATTAGCAATCAGTAATCAGTATACAGTCGAAACGTCGCGATCTACCGTCACATGTGACTACATCGTGAGACAAACGAAAACCTTAGCTTTTACCCTTATGATATTGTACATTTTTTCTCAGTAAGTGTTAAGCCTCAAGCCAATTATCCATTTTTTTCTTAGTACGTCTTTAGTCTTTTTCACCTTCCATCAAAATGTTGCAAAGCAGGCGAACCTGGCGTCACATGAGGGTTGAGTTCGTTCTTGTTCTGAAGATTTTTCTCCAAGTCCTCCGGTTTTCCTTCCTCCACAAAAATCAATATTCCAAATAGCAATTCAACTAGCAAACAGTGGACAAGAAGAGCCAACTCCTGGACACCGCTAAATTCAGTATTATCATTATTATTATTATTATCATTATTATTATTATTATTATTATCATTATTATTATTATCATCATTATTATTAACAGCAACTGCGTGTTTCTGAGGGAACATTAATTAAGAAAATTTCTACACTACTGAGTTGGAGCTGCTCAAGTTTGTGTTCCAAAATAGTATTTTTGTATCGATGAGGTCCCTGAAGTACATCTGTTGTGTATCTTTCAAGTCAACCCTTGCAGCAAATGATATCTTTGTTATCCTCTAATTCCTTAAAACCCGAGCTTGTTTTCAATTTAAGTAGATGGAAACTTCTATTCTGCATGATCTCAGATTTGAGTCCGATGTTCGTGAAAGAACTTGCGTTTTCTGGGCGAGGAACCGCCGTAAATACGCAAATATATTTAATTTGCTCAATGGGCGAAATATTGGGATTTGTATGGAAATGAACTGTCACATCCTCAATCAAGAAATCTGAGCTAGTTTTGAATAAAAACACACTTACCTCACTTTAGAGGTCGTTCCTTTGTATCGTGTGATTTTTCTGGGTTGATGATTTAGAGCCGTTTAGCTCGGTCTTCGTTTATATGCTTTGTCCTTTATAAAGGAAAGAAAAGGATTGTATAGAGGGAGGAGCATAAGGCGGGCGAGATCTTTTGGGCTCGATCAAAAAAAAAGTCATGAAAGATTAAGAATTGTGTCTGTTTCCAGTTGTTGATTTAGAGTAAAAAGGATGAGTCTATTAGACAAGCGCACACTCGACTGTAGTGTTGTATACATTACTGATTATGTCTCATTTAAATTAATTTTCTCTGTTGTATCAATTACAGCGCCTCTGATTTCTTTTTCCCTGGTACCGAAACTCCCTCAACTGTTATCACGTGGGCCATATTTTATCTCATCAAACACCCAGATATGCAGGACAGGCTCCATCATCAGTTGGATGACGTCATAGGCAGTACTAACCGCTTGCCAGAGTTTTCTGACAAACCAAACTTGCCCTTTTTGGATGCATTCATCACTGAGGTTCACCGTATTGTGAGTGAAACTCCGTTAGCTGTTCCCCACTCAACAACTTGTGACACGTCCCTCGCTGGATTTAAGATCCCTCGGGACATGACTGTGATTATTAATCTCTGGGCCATCCACCATGATCCAGATATCTGGGCCGACCCATTCAGCTTCCGCCCAGAGCGCTTCTTGGACGAACACGGCCGTCTACACGTGGAGGGCGTCATGTCATTCTCAGCAGGAAAGCGCAAGTGCCCAGGACAGTCTTTTGCGAAGAAAGCAGTTTTCTTGTATCTCGCCCAGTTGCTGAGCAGATTCAGATTTGAGTGCCCCCAGGGAACAACATTACCCAAGGAGGAGGAGAGCGTGTACGGAATAGTGATTGAGAGTAAGCCTTTTCAAGTACGTGCCATACCTAGAAAAAGGAAAGAGCAGTAATTAGCAGACTACAGTACAACAAGAAAAAGTTATCAGAGACTATGAGACATCAGTCACATCCGAGGAATTTCTTTTGTTCAGTATTATTATAATATGCAGTGTGAAACTTCGGTATTGCGTTACATTATGTTACGTTATGTCACGAGATATTTCAATAAATCAGGACATTTAACGAATATAGGCGATCCTCGTAGTTATGAATTAGAAAGTTCAAAGTTAGAACGTTATTAAAATGCATAAAAAATTATAGAAACTGTTAGTAAAATATTTTGACGACGTTTTGACGTTGCTTCACGTCATCATCAAGTCAAGTGTGAAAATGCAAGTAAAAATTCAAAAAGTAATAAAACTTAAAGGAAAGAATGTCTTTGTCCCCGTGGGTATAGTTCCTAAAGGTAAATGATAACTAAATGTCAGGTAAAAAGTTTTGCGCGCATTGATGTTCCGAATAAATAGCATTTCGCAGGTGAAACAGTCGAACTTGCTGGTACATTTTTTAAGGACCTTAAAAACGATAGAATGCGTCCTGATAATATGTTTTCCGATGGTAGAGTCATGATGTTCAAGGATGCGTTGGTGTAAGTGTCGGTTGGTAGACCCGACATGATTTGGACACACTTATTGCATTATCATATAAAGACACAGATGGTGGGTGGAACGCTTCATAATCATGATGGAGCTCGAAATAATAAATAAATCAAGGAAGAATAATAATGTTTTATATTTCTGTTTTCTCTAATTCCTCTACAACTGTTATTTTTGCGTGATCCCAAAGTTAAGAGTCTTGGACAGTAGTTATTTATTGAAAATTTCTTAGCTATTCTAATTATTTTTATTTGATAAGCTCAGTTATGCACGCATTCTGATTGGTTCTCACTTATGATCTATTGGAGGACAGACTATAGATGACGTCATCACTAAAACTTTTTTCAATTCTTTATTACATAAAACATAGATTCCAAGTTGCCGTGCGTCTGTTCAGTAATAGATCACAGATGACGTCAAAATGTGGTAAGAACATCAGTGGTGCGCCTCGTGTGCCACTTTTTTGTCCTTACCACATTTTGACGTCATCTGTGATCTATTACTGAACAGACGTACGGAAACTTGGAATCTATTTGTCAAATGGATGATGATGTTACTGAGAATTACTAGTTTCATTCACGGCCAACATCAACCGGGCAAGATAGTAAAGGACCTGGGAACCAGAACAAATCGATCAAATGCATGCAAGCCAAATGCATGCAAGCTTCCAAGCTAACACGTAAACAAAACTTGGAGGCGATTGTTAGAGACATGACTTCATTTGCAGTGGTACAAAGAGTTAGAGATATCTTGCTTAAAACTCGCTTTCAAGAGGGACGATTGGGTGAATAGTGAAAAAACGTGTAAACAAAATTAAGAGGACTGGACGTGAGTTGAGGAGTTCTAAAGCATGAAAGCATCAAACGGAAGCAGGATGAAATTCGTCCGCCCGATAGTTGATGAAACACTATTTGGAGAACGTGTCAAGGCAAGAGAAACAGTTAATGTTCCTGATTTTGAACCACCGTGGGTGGACCGAAAAAATTCTCCTACCAAAACACCCTCTCAACCGCTGTTGTTTTACTGCCCAACGGCACAGACAAGACCTCATTCAAGGAGTACTCTCAGTACTCCAGTTCGTGGTTACAAATCAGTAAAATTTTCTCCCACTCACGTTGATGAAACGCTCTTCGGGGAAAGAAGGACAAAACGCTCTGATTCCCCTCCGCCGAGTGAATTTGACCCTCCATGGGAAAAGCAGAACGAGCAAAAGCGTGATAGACCATTATTATTTGATTGTAACTCAAGGCTTACGTTTGACAACGCGGGCGATGAACTCGAAACTACTTCCAGATCAAGAACTCCCCAAAGTTTCCGCTCCTCGTCTAGAACGAGTTCAAGAACGAGTTCAAGAGCTCAAACTGTGGGGAAAAGACCAAAATCAGCATATAAACCACCACCGTGGAGATGAATGAAAACGAAGCAAAATTATTGATTAATATCGAAATGAACTAGGTATGTTGGTTTCAGGTCATATTTAAGAGTTAGACAGTGCGTCCACTCTTCGAAATAGAAACTTACTGAACACAAATTACAGGAACACTAGCCACCAGCGAACTAGAGTATTAGTCTAAGTGCAAGATAACCTGTTTGGAACTAAATGCGACTCGCACCCTGACAGTGAATGGATTTGTAAAGCTGTAGTTATTATACAGCTGTATTTTGAACTGATTATACTCAAATCTAATTGGTTTTTACTTATAATCTAATATCGGACAGACGCTCAGAAGAAGTCACTATCAACAAGATTTTGCTTTTTTATCATGTAAAATAGAATCCAAAGAGAAAGATATTTTTTGTCTTGTCATGAGCATGAGACAAAGAAAAAAATTCTGAGTCCCCATGAGGAATCAAACCTCAGACCTTCGGATTTCACACTCCATGGCCAATGCTCTACCACTGAGCTACAGAGACTCTATGGTGACTAAGGTCTATTGCGAAGTTCCTATGAAACATCCTGCATACTGCTAGGATCAGCAATGTCTATAGCATCATGTTTTTTTCCTTTGTCTCACACTCATGATAAGATGAAAAACATCTTTCTCTATTTCTTTACTAAACTCAAAACTTACCATCTCTCTAAACTGAAATAGATTTCATGTTGCCATGGTTCTGTATGGAAACAAATCACAGAAGATGTCATAATGTATGAACATCAGTGACGTACTTGGCTGTGTCTCGCTTTGTGCACTTCATCTTGATGTCATTTGCAATCTGTTACTGAACAGACAGATGGCAACATAGGATGTATTTGTTAACCACACAACAATCTTCAATCGAGGGCCATATAATAATTCAGGGTTTTCCTTGGTTTTGCATTACTTTTCTTCGAAATTGGTCCAGGAGACCCCTCTGTAACTGATCAGATTCTAAACAAGAAACCAATCACAACTCAGCAGTTTGCTTGGTTTTTAAAAAACATTTTCATGTACGCCTTGCACTATTTTCTTTATATCTGATTGGTTTTTGTGGTTAGTTTGGATTTGGTCCTCCAAAAACACTAGATAACTCCTTTCACTGAAAAGGTCAGCCCAGTAAAACATGAGAAGAGAAACATTGGAAGAGAAACGTTTAGACTTTAACCCCAAGGAGTGACTAACAATATCATTCCTGAATCACATGTAAAGTTCATGAGAATGAAGGAAATGATCACCATTTAAACAGGCTCTTGACTGTTAAACTAATACTAGCTATCAACACCAAAGAAGATGTACAAATGACAGTGTGGAGAATATTCACACTTATGCTAGGGTGTTAAGGGTTAACTCTTATATGTGACCAAGACAGAATTTCTCCCTACAATATCAATGTAATGTCAAGCAAACTAGTAATGAGAATAAAGAAAGATTTAAATGAGGGGATTATTACCTGATCCAATAACAAATTCTCTGAACCAACATTAGAATTGTATGGCAAACAGTAAGGAGATTTAAAGGGGTGACATTCATTGCTATGTCACTATGTCACACTTCAAAGCTGATTCTTTTTCTACGGGTAATTTGAGTTAAAAGAAGGAAAAAAAAAGAGTTTGAGTACCAGTTCACTGATCTCCTATACAATACCACAAAAAAATAAACACTGCTGCACACTTATCCATGGTGATATGAAGCAGTTTCTTTATTACAAAATAATGTTACAATTATACCAAAAAAGTTGCTAAGGATCATCTTATGTAAGCAGCAAGTCAAGAATAAACTGATCTTGTTGAGCAGAAAGTTGTGCAATGTTCTCCAACTTTGTTTCCTTACTATCTATTGTCCTACACTCAGCTAATTCCCTGGGATTTTTTTCTGAATCCCTGAGATTGTCAAGTAAACAGTCTGGTAACAGATGTTCAAGTTTATCTGCCAAGTCAAGAGGATTTACCTCGCATACTAAATCACTGCTCCTTCTACGTGAAGATGAATCAGGGCTCTTGGAAACAAGATTTGTGCCATTTGGATAATTGTTCTGCCCAGCAACATTTTGCTTTTCATTGCCATTTTCATGAGGTCCTTCCTGGTGTTCATCAACTGATACATCCTTGTTTGACTGACAAATCACAAGGCTACCACATGAACTTACAGATGCTGGACTTGAGTATCCACTGTCACTCTGCAATTCATCAAAACTTAACTTCTTGTTTTGTTCCTTGACTTCTTGCCATGTCAAAAATGGTTGTGGCGCAATCCCATTGGAATTCAACTTTGAATTACTAATACATATAGGAGAGTTAGGAGAGCTTTGGGTAACAAGTCTCTTTTTCCTGGGAATGTAAGGTTCAAATTGCTCACTTTTGGTTTTGAGTGACAAATTTAACACTGTTCTGCTCCTTGACGGTGATAATGCAGGGGAATTAAGGGGTGATGAATAAAGTGATTTGTTGATATCCTGAGATGGAGCGAAGGTTGCACTGCAATCAATACTTAACAATGGCATTGAGGATATCTTTCCAAATCTTGTGTCCTGGGTAGGTTGTGCACTATGGTTGGTTTTGACTTCTGTTCTGCTGATCTCCTTAAATTTAGGAGGAGGAATCAGTGGATTGATAACAACTGACACTTTTTCCCAAACTGCAATATGCACTTCTGACAGGGGAACATTTGGTGGTGAGGAACTCCAGCTGCAGATTGGTGATTTTAGATCATCTAATTCCATCCATCTTTTCCCTGCAAGAATTTAAAGAAAAACAAAAATCAAAAGGGAACAGCAGAATCTAATGACAGCCAGCACAATCACGCTGTATAAAACTTGCAAAGGGTATCACTGTTCATTCACGGTTCAATATTTCCTTTGAAAAGTGGATTATATTACAGTACATACCACATTTCTTCACCTATAAGCCAAGCGACTTTTTTCAGTATTTGACACAAAAGTTTGGGAGATTTTTTCACAAGAAATGGGGTTTGGCTTATAGCCGAGGGTTTGGGATTTCAAAACAAGTACAAATTTAATGTTAATGCGAAATGACCATAAATTCTGTGACTGCAGCGCTCTTTATGTGACATGCTTAAAATTGTCATGACAACAACGTATTTCTGACCACCAATCAGATTCATTGCTTCCCTCGCATTGAAAGACGATCTCACTCAACTCGTTAAAAACCCTTCTCATTTCACATTACAAATGAAATATTTGGTCTCTACTGTGAAAACCACTCCATTGCTTGTTCGTCTAGTTCAGGACAGTTGGGAGTGAAACAGCCCATTTTTGCACATTTTGCAGAAAGAATAGTTGCCTGGTCTCTTCTCCAGCAACGCACCATGGACTCGCTAAGTCCATAATCTCGAACACTTTCCAAGCTGTTTTCTACAGCTTCAGCTTCTGCAATAACTTTTATCTTGAAGCCATAGTATAAGAAGAGCGGCCTGCTTTTGGCATGATGAGAAAAACTGTGACGAAAGAGATACTCAATTGAAATGTTTGTCAGGTTACTGTAACTGAGAGTATTGTTGTGTTTCTAAAGTTGCATAGTAGTATTTACATCTTCACTGATTTGCTTTTTTATCTTTTGTGTTTATTCTCATTCATTAGCTTTTGTGTTCATTGAGCCATTTCCCAATTTTTTTTTGAGGTTCGCCCACTCAAATGGCCAGTTACAATCAAGAATTGCTCTTGGCTTCTAGCCGATGGTTTGGCTTTTTGGACAAAACAAGTCTGTCAGAAGGTCTCTAACTTTTAGGGTCTCTGCTTTTAGCCGAGGTCAGCTTATAGGTGAAGAAATACGGTAAAACAAACACCTTATGGAGTTGGAACTAAAATGCCTTGTACCTTCATGGTCCTTTGTCCAGCAAACAAAGTGATCTGGATTCCTTTTATACTGAATAAACTGTGAGAAACTATAGCGACCACATTCCCCATCAAAATCAAGATCTTCATATGTCCCTCCTTTCAATCCTTGCTCAAAGTGAAGAAAAATGCAATCAGGCATTCTGGGAAAGAAAAAGAGATGTATAAAGCCATTGAAAAGTTCCCACTCACTTGAGATCACATGGAGTCCTTACAGTTGTATCAACCTTGAAACACACATTTTAGTCACAAAAATACAGGAAAAGATCACAAGGTAAGGATGGAGGACAGTGCAAAGAATATGCATATTAATGTTGGAAAGTTAAGGGCTAAGGTAATTCCATGAAAGACTGAGTGGCAGTTGGTTATAGTTTATGCATCTGATTGGTTGTGTTTCATAAGCCAATCACAAACTGCAGCACATGGGAAATCTAATTCAATTCTTCCCTACTTTTGACTCGGTCTTGGATGACAATTATCCCATTACAAGAATGCAAATAAAGCAGTTTAGTGACAAACACAATTGACTTAGAAGTCCCACACTAAAGAGACATAAAATACACAATACCTGTCATACACAAGTTTGCTCTCCTGATCAAGAGCATTACATCTGTAACATGGCCTTGTAAATCCCAGATTTTGCAAGCTGAAGTCCTTTGCTAGGTTTGGAAAAGTGACTAAATGCTTCTTCCTTCTACAATGAAATAAAAATATTTAAAATTAGAGAGATCCATGATGAGAACTGAGAGATTTGGGTATTTCATTCCCCAATGGAAAATATATTTAGTAAAAGCTAAGAGATGAAATACCATGTACTTGATTCAACATGTGCTAATAGAACATGAAAAAGAGGCAATTAACTCAGCTACACATACTTTCTTGTCATTAACACATGTTTAAAATAAACCAAGAGTCTAAAATTCCTAGAACAATTGATTTACTGTTGTGGTTCTCAGAGAAACAGTTTACTATTCAAACTTAATTTTGGTTAAAACTTGTAATTACATGACAATGTACAATTAAAGCCTAGACAGTTATGTATATCTTACTTGTCAATTTGTTGATACCCACAGGCAGAACACCTAAATTCCCAGTGATAAACTTGAAGAAACCTCTCAGACACCAAATCATTTTCCTGTAACAGCAATGGTAGAGCTGCAACAGGACTATCATTAACTCCAAGTTGACACTTCATCTTCGGCTGCAAATGTGTCCAAATCATCCCTCTGATTTCTTTTAAGATCACTTCAGCTTGTTCTTTGCTTGTTGATGATAATTCTTGAGCCTGGTTGAATGACTCTGTCAATGTCCTTACCAGTGAGTCTGATTTTTGCATAAGATTTCTCAGAGATGTTGTCACAGTGACATTGTTTACAAGTAGAGATAATAGAGAATTTAGCCAACAAAGTCTATCAACATTCCTCCATTGCAAGATCTTTTCTGCAGCCTTGGATCCTGGAGAAATATTTTCTGGTTCCTGAAAAATGAGAGTATTGCTGTTGTTGTCACAAAAATAGAGATAGTAAAGGTTGCAACTGTCATGATTGGGTTTGTAAAGAACAAATATTCAACCAAATCTCTTACAGTGTTCTAGAAAAAGGGATGTCACTGAAGTTTCTGATAACAAAATCATTTTTCCTCTCTGTTTTTTTTTTTTTTAATTGGACAGCTACATGACAGAATACAAACTTAAATAATGGCCTTTTTCCCACAGCAATGTCACAATTATTTTGCAAGAGAGCCAATTATCTGCACTCTCCACAGGTAAATACAATGAAGTTTTGAATAAAGAATCAAGAATAACATATGGTTCATGTTGTAATGGATATCTTTGAAAATCGTGGATGATGCGAGATTTAAACTTACATCTACAAAACAAGAAGTGCACCAAACAAGAGTAAGAACTTTAGAGTTCAGCAAAGCAGAGTCATACAGAACACGCGCACTGTCAGCAGCAAGTTTCAGCGAACCGCGTTGATGCCTAAGCTAATAATTCCAAACGATATTTACCACAGCTGTTACTTGTAAGATGAAGTTGGTGTCTTGCTAAAGACACCACCACTTAATACCTCTTCTTCAAACTTAAGAAAATGAAAAATGCTGCATCTTACCTCTGATTCACTTTGTTTTGGCCTCTTCTTACGTTTTCTCTTCAAGTTTGAGAACGAAGTCACCTCGGTTGCTTTCCGACTTACAATCAAGTTGGCATTCTTTGCAACCCCAAGCGGGTAAACGCACTGTAAAAGAGTCATACTATCACGCCTTAGCTTTCAAATAAGTCAGAAAGTACCTAAGCGAGGAAATTCACTCGAGATAGGACAGCCAAAATATCACAAAGAAATGCACTTACATCCTTGTCTTCACATAGCAAAATCGCCTCCTTCAAGTTCAATTGAAACAGAATAAGCCGTCGTTTCAAACCATTCACTTGACAAAGCGAGCAGAAACGTTCCATCATCTACTTTCGTAGTAGCTAATCGAACTTTTCATGGCCAAAACTTTCGTGAAGTTACAGCGAAAAGAAGTATTAGATAACTTTCCAAGACTTGTACAAGGAAGCGCACATGTGCTCTTGGTGCCATCAAAACTAAAACGTTCGGTGTCGTTTAGTTAGAAGAGCATGGTAATTTTGAATGTTTCCGCTGACCAAAGAATTGTAGACAAAATAATAATTGGCGGTGAGGGGAGGGTGAGGTCCATTTGGTTCCGAATA